AGGTGAAACATTTTCCCCTAGGTCAAACAGCATAAATGAGAGTCAAGATGTAAACTCAGGATACCTGGCCTTTTAGCTAAATCTATTCAATCATGATGCTCCCTGAGTTTGTTGATGGATGGTTCCATTATATTTTATAGTTAGCCTTATGGTTTTTGCTGATGAACTACTAGAATGCTTAATTAGTCTGAACTCAGTCATTCACAATAAGAACGGCACGAACATTATCATTCACTTATAGTCTATAGAATTTGGAATAGGTTTGGTCCAATAATAAAGATGACAGCTAGCCAGAAAAGGAATAGACAATTCATTTCTCCCTAGTTCTGAGACCCCGTCAATTCCATCTTTATTAAGAACGACAACTTGGAAATGTCTGGACTCACTACTAACAAATTAAAGCCACTTTTAAAAAAACAATCATATATTTTGGATTTGATTACTCAGAAATACAATATTAAAAGGGCCTTCATCCTGACTAAAATGTATTGGATTTCCCTGATGTAGCTTCTGTGGTCTAATTTGTACATCATATATATAGAGATAGATAGATAGATGTCTTTCAGTCTTATTTAGGTTGAAAACTTGAATGAAGCAAATATAAATATCCGTGCTGTCACTTAGAGATGGAGAAGTTATTTCTGTGTTATGCTGCAGAAATTAAAAAAAAAAAAGATCTAAATTTGAATGATGATCCTCTAATAGTATCTATATTCTGGGGCTAAGTGCGTTCTTCCCTTTAAAAATAAAATTCCAGGGAATTTGTCTTGAAATATTTATATAATTCCCTATTTAATTTTGCAGCAGACATTTCAGAAGCTTATATGTCACTTCAAATTCAAGGGTTGGTGAATCATCTCCATTCATTTCGCATATGTTTATGTTAGTTGTTACTCTGTGCCAAACTCTGATTAGATACTGGGTCAAAACAGCAGAGCCCCTGCCATCAGGGAGCCACCTCTACCGAGATAAATAATTTCGTAGTTAAACGGGGTGATAGGAGAGAGCTGGGGAAAAGTGTATTCAATAGGGTGGGTGGAGAAGGGTGGTTCTGAGGATTTAAACTGAGATCTGAAGGAAGGGCCGGCTATAAGTAGATTCAGATTTGTAGGAAAAGCATCCAAGTAAGTGGTGTTCAAGGCTCAGAGGTGAGAATTACTTGTTTTTGAAAGGGCTACAACACGTAATGGGAATTCTGGGAGAGAAAGCAACAGCCATCAGAAATGTTTGATTACTAAGGTGGAAACAATTGGAAATTTGGAGATTTCTTAAAGCCTGCTCTTTTATTTTAATGTTGGGGAAACTGAAACCAGGTGAGATTGATGTGTTTTTGGTCATACACAAGTTAAATTGTAACCTGGGTCTCCCATTTCCAGATCTATTGCTTTTTCTATTAAACAAAATTACTTTTATTGTGCTTGAGAATGCTAAATGTATTGCAAAGTATTGGTTTTTACAGTTGAGAACTGAAACCTTTACAGAGTTGGCAAACATTTATTTAGGCTTTCTTTATAATCAATAACAGTTGCCAAAGCCATATCAATCATTGAAATTTGCATCCCTTATTAAGAAAATCACAGGGAGTACTTTAACCCTTCAGTCATTTATTGATTTTAGTCTCTAGCTTGGAAATCTTCAGATCTTTTGTGGTGCATCAAAAAGGCATTCCTGTTTATGTTTAATTTCCACACCGTCCACTTCAGTTTGAAACCAGATATTGTCCATCTTGTTTAAAAGCGGGGAATTTTTTTTATTGCTTCCTGTCATTTCCAATTATAACCCCATTGGCTTGCTAGACATCTCAGCTATAATTTATGCACTTTTCTGTTTGATAAATGGGAAAGCTTGAATTTTCAGGCCAATCATTTATATAAATTGCAGATATGCTTTCTATTTAGCTACCTTTCTACTTCTAATATTTTTATTACTTTGTGGAGAAATAAATTGGGCTAATATTGTTGACAGCTCTCCTTGATTTTTCTGTTAGCCTTTTAATACATATATAGGGATTGTTATGAGCTTAGTTCTATATCTTGAATTTATTTATTTATTTTTTAAATAAATTTTTATTGTTATGTTAATCACCATACATTACATCATTGGTTTTTGATGTAGTGTTCCATGATTCATTGTTTGTGCATAACACCCAGTGCTCCACGCAGAACGTGCCCCCAACACCCATCACCAGGCTAACCCATCCCCCCACCCCCCTCCCCTCTAGAACCCTCAGTCTGTTTTTCAGAGTCTATATCTTGATAAAACCTTCCATTTGGTGATGATTATTCAGGGCAACTAACATTGTCCCAAGAGTCACAGTCAGTGGGAATGGTAACTTGACAGATCAGAGAGTATAAGAATATGTTGCAGATACTTCAAAAATTGTAATTTAAGAAACTTATATGGCTTTTGGAGAATCTAAATGTACTCCCACCCTCTGTATTATGAAAAACTAAAATATTTTTCTGTGTGCAGATGATGTGATTCTTTTTTTCAGTTTTATTGAGGAAAAATTGAGAAAATTGTAAGATATTTAAAGTTTACAATGTGATGATTTGATATACATATACTTGTGAAAGCATTACTCCCACTGAGTTAATTAATACATTCATCATATTTACATTTTTTTGGTAAGAGAACATTAAAGTTCTTTTTTTTTTTTTCAAAGATTTTATTTATTTATTTGACAGGGGGAGAGAGAGAGAGAGCACAAGCAGGGGAGGGAGGGGCAGGGGCAGAGGGAGAAGCAGACTCCCCGCTGAACAGGGAACCCAATGTGGGGTTCGATCCCAGGACCCTGGGATCATGACCTGAGCTGAAGGCAGACGCTTAACCAACTGAGCCACCCAGGAGCCCCTAAAAAAATTCTTTTAAATTGATGTGTGACATATGTAGCAAAAGTACACAATTTGTAAGAGTTTGGTTTGATGAGCATTCAGAAGGTGAATACACCCATGTAAACCAGCACCCAGTCAAGAAAGAGAATCTTACGAACATGCCAGTCTGACTCCAAATGTCAGTAGTTTTGCTAGTTTTTAAATAATGGTTTTAAATAATAGTTTTCAATAATATTTGTGAGATTCATTCATGTTGATGTGTGTATTTATAGATTGTTTATTTACATATCTGTACAGTATTCCCTGGGCAAACATAAAATAATTTCTTAGTCTGTTCTATAGTTGATGGACATTTGGATTGTTTCCAGGTTAGACTCTTACAAACAATGGTGCTAAGAGCATTCTTGTACTTGTGTTGGGGTGCATATATTGTGCATTTTGTTCGTTACATACGTTGGAGTGGAATTACTATCCTATAGGTATGATTATGTTCAACTTTAGTAGATCATGACAGTTTTCTAAAATGATTGTGAAAATTACACTTCCATCATCTGTGTATGAGAGTTCCAGTTACTCTTACTTCCTTATCACCACTTGTTATTGTCTGTTTTTTTTTTTTTTTTTAATTTTAGCCGTTGTGATGTGCACTGATTATTCTGTGAGGAAAACATTGTCCCTCCCAGCAGTGTGCCCTCAGTAAACCTCCATGCTGGGATTGAGCTGTCTTCTACTCAGTCTTCTTTCCTTTCATGAGAGCATTGCTCCAGCTTGACCGATTATTGGAGCACAAGTTTCTATATTTAGCAGGGAATTCAGAATATCTGTATTCCTGGTAAATGCTGCTCAATACTTACCAATAACTTTGCTAAATGAAAGACGAGCTTATGAAATGTATTAGGCAGTATTCTGAATGCAAGTGCTTTAAAAAAGCCCCTAATTCAAACTAGTTTAAGTAAAAAAGGTGACTGATTGATGCTTCTAGCTGAGAAGCCAAGCTTGGGGGGCTCCAGAGGCTAAGCTTCACTTCCATATCAAGGGAAGAGCTTCTCAGGCAAGCTCTCTCCCTGCCTGGCGGCAAGATTTTGCAGGGGCTCCAAACTTCCAGCAGTTAAACAGAAACCAAACCAAAACAACCACCATAACAACAGACTTCTTCCTGTTTTCCTAGAGCTCTCTAGCACAAGTCCTGGATTTGAGGCTTATTGGCTCTGTTCATTCCTTGGCTCAGGGTTGGCACCCGTACCTTTGGACCACATGCTCTTAGAGGAGCAATGATTCTCTGAGGAAAATTGGGGTGCTATTACCAGAAGGGAGGATGGTTGGTGGCAGGCAAAAGCAAAAAAATACTCACTCTAAGTCAGATGATTTGAAAAAGGGTGTGCAGTCTATTCATTCCTTTAGCTGTTACAGGACTTGTCCTTGGATCAAGCAATAGTGCTGGAAAGTTGTATACATGGATTGCATTATTTGAGGCCCTATGGAATTGCTTTTATTGAACTGTGCTTGGACATTCTGTTATCAGCCTGCATTTAGAGACAGTATAACGAGCTGCCCTGCAGAATTCCTTATATTATTGTTGGGTAGTACTAAGGACACTTTATAGGATTTCATGGGAGAAAATTCTCCATGGTCTCTGTACCAGGAAGAGTTGAACTGTTTCTAAACAACTTTTATGATTTCATCATATGGTATTTCTGAAACTGATAATGTTTGCTTCTTGGTATTGCTAGTATGAGAGTCAATTTTTTTTTTTTTTTTTTAAGTGAGCTCTACTCCCAGTGTGGGGCTTGAACTCACGAACCCGAGATCAAGAGTTGCATGCTCTATCCACCGAGCCAACCAGGCACCCCTGGAATGATAGAGTCAATTTTATGTCTTGTTTTAATTGAGTCAAATAGGCCTCAAAGCCTAGCTTTTTTTAGTGGTTACCTCACTCCTTTATTTTTATTTTATATTTCCTTTAAATGTGATTTCCCAATTCTTTTTCCTCTTTCTTCTGCTATATATCTTTTGTAAACTTCCTGAAGTGTTTTCTGAAACCAAGTTGTGAAATAAATAGAACTTAACGAAAATTTTATTCCATGCATTGAAACTATTACTGCAAAATAAGTAAATCTGCTTGGCTTTGGCAAGAAGTGTATTAATAGGACTTATTTTGGGTTCTAGTTTTAGATGCAAGGGTTGTGAAACACTACAGAATCAGAAGACTGGATGAAGGGGGTTTTTTCCTTACCCAGAGAAGAACCTTTTCAACACTGAATGAATTTGTGAGCTACTACACCAAGACAAGTGATGGCCTGTGTGTCCTGCTGGGAAAACCATGTTTAAAGGTGAAATGCTTTCAAGCTGTGTTCATTTTGAAGTTAACTTTTTTCCTTCAGATATTGGAGTATCTCTCATGTGATCTGTCCAGAAAAAAAAAGGTCATTTGATTACCTGAGGCATGGATAGACAAACTATGGCCTATGAGCCATACTGTCCCACACTTATTTTTTAAATACCGAATTTTATTGGAACATAGGCATGCTCGTTCATTTACAAATTGTCTTTGATTTTTCTCCATATTAGCAGAGTTTAATAGTTGCAACAGAAACCTCATGGCCCACAAAGACTGAAATATTTACTATCTCATTCTTTTCGGAAAAAGTTTGCCAGCCCCTGACCTAAGGCACTCACTCAAGACAGAAAATATTCATTCTTTGCCCTAGGAAATTAATCTGATATCCTGCCACTGGAGCACTTAATGATATGGCTGGAGGGGAAAAAAATGCCCAAATATAATTCTTATTTAGATTTGTATTCAAGAATATTAATATGAAATTACTAGACTCATTATCTGGTCTGCATAGAGATGTCATTTAACTAACTGTTCTAACCGTGTGACCAGGCCAAACAACATTTATAGAATTTATCTACATCTATCATTATTCAGTTGTTGCATGTTTTACCTAGACTTATTTAAAGTTACGGAGTGGTCTTTCACTGTCGTGGGGCAAAACCTCAGCTCCTCATCAGAGTTCAGGTCTCATGTCCTGTCAATGGGACAGCCAGCCCTGTGGTTTATGTCTGGATGATCAGTGAAGGGTTACTGGTAACACCTGACCAAAATTTTATGGACAAGTAGAAGTTGAAGAACTTTGTCCAGTATGTAGGGAATTCATTGACTTAAATCTTGCCAAGTGAACGTGCAATTTTGGTATAACTATGTGCATCTTGGATGGTATAGGCCTGACCCCACAAGAATATGTAAGCTCATGTTAAGAATGGCTTACCTGATGCAAAGATGTGGCTTAAAAAATACTCAGTTTAACCAATATTGTTGAATTCTGGTGGGGACAAGTGTTCACAAAGAAGCCTACACCTTCTGTGTACTCAACGTGCTGATGATTTGGCAGAGGAGCTAAGATAATTTCTGATGGTCAATAATGAACTAGACGATGAACTCCACGAGGGCAGGGATCTTGTCTGTTCTGTTTACAGAACGGCACCTTGTTGGTGCTTGAAAAACATGTATTTACTAATTGAACAAGTACATGAATGAACAAATAAATAAATGAATTTGAAACGATGAACATTTTAATTATGCAAAAATATATGATACATATGGTAAATGCTATAGACCAAAGAATTTAGGAAGTAATTGCGAATGAGGTGAAACTTCAAATGGGCCTTAAAATTGGGAGGATTTGGCTAGGCAAAAAGTCAGAGGAAAATCACACCAGACCCATGTAAGGGTAGCAATGGATGTGGGGTGGGACAGATGGACAGCAGGTAGCCTGATGTAGCAAGACTTGGGGGGAAATCAGCTCAAAGAGGCAATGTTACAGATTCTACCATGATTGCTTTTCATTTTAAAGTAATTAGAATAAAATGTACAATATTTTGGTTTTAAAAACGGTGTCTTTCTTAAAAGTGCCTAGACTATTATTTTCAACCCCCAAAATTGTTAAATCTTTTTCTTATAATTATTCTAATTATTCTGTGAAACAGATACAAGTGCCAGTGCCTTTTGATTTGTCGTATAAAACCGTGGACCAGTGGGAGATAGACCGCCAGTCCATACAGCTTCTGAAGCGATTAGGATCTGGTCAATTTGGTGAAGTGTGGGAAGGCCTATGGAATAATACCACTTCAGTAGCAGTAAAAACATTAAAACCAGGTATGAGACTGAGAATGGCAAAGTTTAAATGTCAGATGTTGATTTTTAGAAGCTCAGCTTGCTACTGTCAATGTCCAAGGGGTCACAGGACAGTCAATGCAGGTACCACGCAAGTGTTGTGATCACTTTTTCTGGACCAGGTGACAAGAAAGCATAACATGCTTTAGACTGTAAAGGCAAGAGCAAGTTCCTGTGATCAGCTAATGCTTAAAATATCCCCAGTGCAAGATTTCAACAAGGCATCTCTTCTTCAGAGTTTAGATTATCCCTCTTCCCATTTTTTTTCCTAGGCTTCATGAAAAATACTGACTTTACTGAAAATACTTAACAAATCAGTGGAACCTTGGAGATCTTCAGGGAGAAACAATTTTATTAAATACTAATTGTTTATGGTTAAAAGGTAAAAGTGTCCATCTAAAAGCCCTCATATTTGGAAATGTAGGAACTAGTTTTTTCTTCCATTTTCCTTTCTCCTATCATGGAAATTAAAAGTACACTAAAATCATATTTATTCTGCCGGGCATTATCCCCTCCATTTTAAAAGCAGGATAAGAAAATTTAGAAAGATTAAGTAACTTTCCTAAAACTTACTAGTCCTATGAACTTGGGTAAAGTTTTAAACTACTTTAAGTCTCAGTTTTATCATTTGGAAAAAAGAGGGTCATTAGTGCAAATGCTTTGAATAATGTCTGGTTCATAGTAAGTGACCAGGAAAACCTGTTCTTATTTTGATGATGATGATGATGATGATGATTATTATTATTACTGTAAGGTCAGTCAGTGGCAGAGCTGGAATTTGAACCCACATCTATCCCTGTTGCATCACCCCAAGGAAGTAACATTCCATGACAGTACAACATTACTGTAGTCGCCTCATATCTACTTCTAATAACATAGGCAAGAGTAATAACCAGAGGCTAGAGTATAGTTCTCTGGGGGACCTTCCTTCTTTACCTAACCCAGAATCTTAAGGGTTCAGAAAGCCTCCTGGTGGCAGAACTTGAGCATCTGAGTGCTGCTGGGTAGCAGTCTTGTGTAACACCATGGTTCCCAAACTGTGTGCCAAGGCACATCGGGGCACCACAGTGAATTCACAGGAGTGTCGTAGGATATTTCAAAGTTTTGGGGTAAACAGCTTGAACACAGTTCAGTATTAGATCATGTCACATTCCCTTTGCTGACATCATATCTTTGTGAAAATGGGTTTTTGGTGGGGACTGGGATCACACTCAAGATCCAAGCAAAAATCAACATGGGGCAGGAAATGAGGGGAGCAATGTTCTCTCTGCTTCCAAGACTTGAGAAATTGTACTGTGCCCCATAGATGCGTGTATCTCTTTAGTAATTGCGGTTAAGAATGAAATAACAATTATTTTTTCTTTTGATTTATCTGTATTACTTTTTAAAATGGGTATTATGTTGTTGAGACACAAATACTTTTAAAGTTGCTTTGATTTAACCAAGTAATCAATAGAACTGTTAGATATTGGCTTAGGGGCATCATGAAAAATGTTCCTGAGACAGTGAAAGTGCCATGAAGCGAGAAAGTCGGGGCTGCTCTGGTGTAATAGTAGGAGCATAAAGTTTGGTCTAAGATAGACCTGAGTTCAACCTTGGCTCTGGCCTCTGTGACATTGGACAATTTATTAATCATTTGAATCTCCTCATCTGGAAGTGGGAATTATAATAGTTCCTACTTCACAGGGTTTTATGAGGACAAATTGAGTCAATGTATATAAAATATATGCAGTGAGTTCTTAATAAATGTTAGCTTCAGTGGGGCTGCCGACAGCTGTCCACTGAGGTGCAGATTCGCTAGTGCAGGACTTCGGTCTCAGCATCTACACCTGCCTTCTGAAGTGATGGAGAAGCACTTTTGAGTGGCCAGATGTCATGTGAACACTCCAGGGGAGGACGATCTATTCCAGCACCTGAGATTTTCCCAATCACTGCATATATATTATTTTGAAACCTGAGCTTGTTGACAATTGAGCCTAAGCTTTATTTCCCGATCTAATCATTCTTTTCCAAAAACAAAGCAGCCAGCTATTCATCCTAACATTGTTCTTGAAGGAAAGCCTTCTGGAGGTCAAAAGAGAACAACAACAAAAAAATCGCATTTCTTATATTAAAAAAAAAGCCATGATAGTTTTCTCTCCAACAGGAATAATTATTATTGATTTACAGTGTAATAGCAGCAAACAGCTTTGGTGATTGGTTAAATGTCTTCACTTCACCGGGGCCATTAATCAATCTTAGCAGCTATTTATTGCTTAGCAGACTACCACGCAATAAAGACGAGCCTGAAATCAACTCCCACAGTAGCTCTGACAGGCAAAAATTAATATTTAATGTTGCATTACTAGCTGAGTTGAAATTGGGTCTCTGCTGTGCAGCTGGTCAGCTATAACCAGTGATGCAATGGAGTGCTCTTGAGCAGACGTCACCTGCAGAGGCTCCTGATGTCCCGTGGGTCCAGCTCTTGTGCAGAGTCTGATTTGGCAATGATTTGAGTGTCCTGCATTCCATGAATCTGATGGCTACCAAAGCATTAGGGTAGAAACATACTGTATATATAAATTGCCTGAATGGTGATCATAATTGCTTTTATCACTGGAAGCTTCATGAATCAGATTATTTTGGGGGTGGGTGAGGAGAATCCCACTATATCCATATTTGACCATAGGCCAGACTAATTGTAACAAGAAGAAAGTCCTTTATTATGTTTTGGGTGCCTCTTTTCTTCTCTGCTCCATTTTGCCACTCTTTGATTATGTGGAACAAACCAATGGTAGGGATGGAATGAGGAAGCACAGAAAATCTTGATGGAAATGAGAATAGGTCATTTTTCTCTATTCTCCCTCTTTGAGTCCTTGCCCCTTCTCCTCCTCAGTCTGTGAAAAAATAGAGTTGATGTGTTTGGTTTTTCCTAGAGTATGCATATTAATAATAATACAAATAATGGCCAATAGTTATTGAATATATATATTCCAGGTATTGCTGTTTCCTGGTGATGATATTGTGATATCAGTCGGGTTTTTAGCCATGTTTTACAGATGAAGAAATTGAAGTTCAGAGACATTTGGTAACTTGCTGAAGATCACACAGTGAGCTAAGATTTGATCAGAATCCAGAGTTTGACCAAGCCTGTGTTCTGAACTTCTATTCTCAAGGGAATACCAAAGGATAGACTGCCTAAATGCTTTATGTGAAATGATCTGCAAGTCACATGTAACTCTTCTTAACTTCATATCAATAAACAAGTTGGAGTGTTATCTTAGAATGTCAAAGCTTATCCATGCCTGGGTTCAAATATCAGTCATGAAGTCATCATGCAACAGATGAATGGAACAGTTTCTTTGAGCATCAGTGGATATGATATTGCACTATCTATAGTGAATACTGAGATGTGAAATGACAGTATTCCTTCAGTTACAGTAATGTCTCTGAAACATCCTATCCTAAAAAAAAATTGAAAGATTTTTAAAAATTACTGATGAAATATAAACTCCAGGTATCTTTCCTCCTCTTAGACTTTATTTCTTGTTAACTACTTGGCACTTTGCATGGTAAGAGTTGAGCCATTAAAATACTATTTAATTGTAGGCAAGTCTTCATAATAGGTCCTAATACTGTCTCCTTATCATTCTGCTAAGTTCTTAAGAGTCTGACTACAGAAGTATTAATATAGGAGAAAATGTTGAAGATCAATTTCAAGTTAGATGTAGAAGACTGGTAAAAAAAAAAAAAAACCACTAAGTTTTGGGTGTAGCCCTTGAATGTTTTCTCCTTGGCCTATACCAAATATCCCTACAGAATGAAGGACATAAATATGGCAGAATGTCATTGCTTTAGGATTGTTATGCAGCTGTTCCCACAGTGGGTACCAGGGACAGGGCAGCTATCAGTCTTCTCTGGATCCTGGACCAAAAAGCTCTGGCTGCAGTAATTAAACATTCAGTGTCCTCCAGCATTCATGGTAATAGAATGTCTTCTCTGTGTTCTTAATTTGCCGGCCTTGTTTTATCAATTAGACTGTCAGTCACTCCTTTTCCCTTCATTTTTCATATGGACCAGCATCAACCTCTCTTCACCTACAGGTCGTAACACATAAATTACACCCCCTTGATGCACCAACATGTCAGCTTTAGGTTGCCCTGGTTGGGCTCATTCTCTTCTTTGATAAATCTGAAGATTTGTGACACCAATGCTCTTACTTTACTGAGAAGCAGGAAGCAATTTTAGTGATTCCCACCAGACTGCTGTGAGGATAGGAATGCCTCAATAACATAAAGTGATTTCCTCCTTTTCTTGTTTCAGGTTCAATGGATCCAAATGACTTCCTGAGGGAGGCACAGATAATGAAGAACCTGAGACATCCAAAGCTTATCCAGCTTTATGCTGTTTGCACTTTAGAAGATCCAATTTATATTATTACAGAGTTGATGAGACATGGAAGTCTGCAAGAATATCTCCAAAGTAAGCTAAAGACTTAATAAAAGGGAAAAAAAAGAGGAATTTAGTTTAGCTAGTCCTATAAATGTCAATTTAGCAAGCCTTCTATAACCCAATGTGTATATCTGTGAGAATGAATGTCTTAACAGTGAATGGCTCAACTACATTTTAATAGGATATATACTGTGTGCCAAAAGGAGGAAAAATATTTATGTAGCAAAGAACAAATTGTTCACAATAGACATACTGGAACACATAAATGTAATGTAGAAAACTGAAGACTATGAGATGCCATGTTTTACATGATGCTTTGTTTCCTATAATAACTAATGGAACATTATCAGTCATGGACCAGTTTGTTCTATGGCCCAGAATTAGGGGACATGGAATACTTTTGGGGAGATAGAGGGAGAGGTGTCCTCATTCTTTTTCCTTTGCCAGTGTTTGACAACCTTGTACTTGTTGGTATTTAAAATACTTCCACTGCTAGGCAATGTTAGAATTTTCAGACTAAAAAGCAGAAATATACTATTGCTTTATTTCTACATCTGCTTCCTGTAGTCAGAGAAGACTTAAGGGCATTGTGAAATTTTGATGTTTATTACAAATGAATAATTTAATATGCAACAATATAATGAGTATTAAAATGAGATGTTCAGAGTAGTGGAGATCAAGTACCGAGAGAATAATTCATGCTTAAAAAAGAGACTTTTTCTATGCTTTCTTGAAATGTCAGAGTGGGATTGATAGAACGTGTACAGGTAAAGGGAGGTGAGACTAATAGAACAAAGATATTAGAAAGAGAAGAGTATTCTCTGATTTCAGGGTGACTTGTGAAGCTGGTGGTATTAAATCGCAAAAGTGGAAAAGAGGAACAAAGAACATGGGCCTGTTAAATGCTGTTAAAAAAATATGCCTAGCTCCTTTGCATAAAGATAGCAAATTTAACAATATCAGAATATATTAGCCACCAGAGTAAGACTAACCTCAGCCATTGACCTGTTTTGCCTTATTCCCAGGGACAAAAGTACAGTAGCCATCTTGGGTCATCTTTAACAAAAATGCTTTGTCAAGGCCACTTGTAACAATCATGGTGGTAGATCTAATAGTCAATTCTCAATTCTCAGACCTATCCGTAGCATTTATTTCAATGGACTTGAAATAATGGAAACACTTCCTTCATTTGGCTTCCAGGACACTTCACTCAATGGCTTTTCCTCCTCTCTTTTTTGTTGGTTCTTCTCCCATCTATGTGGTTTCTCTCATTTCTCAGACCTCTCAACATTTTGGAATTTTGCAACATCACTAGTTTCCTTGCTAATCTCAGTCAGTCTCAGGGTTAAATAACATTTATGTATCAAAGATTTCTCAAATTACATCCCTCCATTACTTCAGAATCATAAATCCAACTGCTTTCTTGACTCTACTTGAATGCTTCTCTGGATAACATAGATGTGATACAGCAGCACCCCCTCTCCCAAATCCCAGAGGCATTTATTTCTTGCTCATATTATGTGTGCAAAATAGATTGGTTGGTGGCTCAGACTAATCCCATTCTGGCTCTTAGAGCTCCAACTGGCAGATGCAGAGATAACTTCTGTGCCTTTTTATTTGGTCAAACCAAGTCAGAGGGAATAGGGAAGTAAAATCCTCTAACGTGGTTGAAAGAAGAAAAAAATAAATATTTGTGAACAGCCAGAATTTCTACTACATATGTCCATTAAAAATCTCAAAACAACATGTCCAAAACTGATCTTATATTATCCTCAATAATTGGCTGCTCTTGTGGTCTTTCCTTCTTTGATGATGTCAACACTGAGCCTAATCTCTTGGATCATCTCTACTTCTTCTCACAGCTTCCATCTAACCAATCAGCAAATCCAATTGACTTTTTTCAAAATATATCCAGGATTTTGCACCTCTCTGCACGCCCACCCTGGTCCAAGCCGTCATCAGCTCTCTTCTGGATGGTGCAGCAGCCTCCTAAGTGGTCTCCCTCTTTTGGTTCTTGCTCCTCTCAGTCTCTTCTCAACACGGGAGTTGGAGAGATCCTGTTAAAATGTAAATCAGATCGTGTCCCTCTTCAGCTCAAAGCCTCAGTGACTCTCATTGGTTCTCTGTGTACAACCTCTAAAGTCCTACATGGCCCAGCTCTCCATTACCTCTCTCCCTTGTCTCCACATCTCCCCCAACATCTCCCTTATCTCCCTTGACTCTGTGTCAGCTGCACTGCCTTTTGCTGCTCTTCATATCTTCTACATGTGCTTTGCTTCAGGCCCTTTGCACTTGCTCCTTCCTCTATCTGAATTTCACCCCCATTAACATCCATGTAGCTCACTTCCTCACTTCTGCAGTCTTTCCTCAGATGTTTCCATTATGGTGAGTCCTTCACTGGTCATCCTCTGAATTCTAAAATTTAATCTTCTTCTTCTGTCTCTTTGTATGCTTCTTTCCTGCTTTTTGTTTTGTTTTGTTTTGTTTTTTTAGCTGCTGATCATCTTATAATGTATGACTTTGTTTTGTGGCTTATTGTAAGTATCTTCTAAAATACAACTCCAGGAGGTTAGAAATTTTTCTTTGTTTTAGTGATAGAACAGTGTCAGGCACATAGAAGGTGTGCACTAATTATGAATGTGTTGACTGACTGAATGAGAAAATTAATGGATAAACTAAGCGGGGCTATTCTGAACCTAATATCAAGACTCGGAGTTGAGCTTGTTTTGAGACCCTTTGTGTCAGCTTGACAAGATCCACTTATTAATTATGAACTCCTTTGACATTGAGGATTTTTGTGGTTTGTTGATGTGTTTTACACAGGGGTCAGCACAAACCCTGTCATATTGTGAGTTGGGCCTTAAGGGTCAAGTTTACCAAGGCCTTCATTTGTCAAGACACTTAGTAGCCATGAGGAGTAATGAGGAGATGCTCATTACAGACAATCCCTTCCCAATCAAGAGGGCTTAAATTCAACAAAGTGATCTTAAAATGAATCTGCCACTCTTAAACAGCCCAGCATGATAACTGTTATAAGATGAAAGACTCTTGAGTAATGGAACATAATTGAAAATATTTTCTTGCAGCAGATGTAAATTGTCACAGGCCTGTGAACCTTTATATCAGTTTTGACAACTGGATGTTGTACCAGAAGTGTGTTCTGAGGTTTACTTGGGCAGTTCCTAGGCCACTGCAGTCTTTCAGGGTAGAAAACGTGTTATTACTCAATTTTCTTCTCTATTGTGCCTGTCAGTGAAAACTTTTTATATCCACTGTAATAGGATTAGATGTCGTATTTCATAGTTGAAATGACATACATATTTTTCCGTAGAACCATCTTTGTAGTCCCTAAGCTTGGCTAAATATTTTTTTGTAATAAATTTCTCCAAAATGGAAGAGGCTTGTCAAAAAACTTTAGCTTTGAGGGTAATTGATGTCAGGTATTTCCTATTGAAATTTAAAGAGAATAAATACCTGCATTTTTTTTTATATACATACATATTTTTTAAAATAAATAAAGTCCTAGCATGTTGTTAATCAATCTCATGGACAGTTCACTTAGATGGCCTGAAATAGACAGGAGTGTTTTCATTGAGATACTCTTTAGCTGACTACAACTGTAGCCCCACCATTCAGGTGCTCAGGAATCATGGGTAAGGTAAGTTTTAGGAAGGAAAGAGTATAGAATAGTTTTTAAGAGCATGAGATTTCAACCTCAAACATGCCCGAACTTGAATCTCCACTCTACAACTTATTACCTGTTCTTCTAAGTAGCAGAAACTGCTGTGGAAGGGGACAAATAATAACAATACTTACTTCATATAGTTCTGAGCATAAAATGAGGTGATGTAGTGAAAATCAACCATATGGGATAGTGGTAGGAGAGGTGCATATATATTCATTTTTTTTCCTTTAAAAAAAAAAGCCACTGTATAGTATTTACTACGTGCCAGGCATTTTTCTTGCTTGCTTTCTTTTTTAAAGATTTATTTATTTATTTGTTTGTTTATTTATTTATTTATTGGAGAGAGCGAGAGAGTGATCGCATGAGTGGTGGGGGGAGGGGGGCAGGAACAGAAGGAGAGGGAGCGGGACAAGCAGACTCTGCACTGAGCACGGAGCCAGATGCAGGGCTCAATCCCATGACCCTGAGATCATGACCTGAGCTGATACCAAGAATCAGATGCTTAACCAACTGATTAAGGCTAATCACCTGTTTAACTACCCAGGCACCCCTGCCAGGCATTTTCTAAGTGTTGTACAAATATTAACTTAGTTCATTCTTCTAACAACCCGATGAAATGAATATTATTATTATTATTATTATTATTATCATCATCATCATCATTTCCACCTTACAGTAGAAGAAGCTGAGGAGTGGAGAGGTTAATAACTTATCCAAGGTGGTTGAACCAGAATTCAAACCCAGAAGTCTGGCTCTGTAGTCTATGCTTTTAACTGTATGCATAACACTGGCATTAGTTTCTTAACGTGAACCTGTATTCATTATCTATTGCTGCACAACAAGTTACCCCGAACTTAGTGGCTTAAAACAGCAAGCATTTATTATCTCACAGTTTCTGTGGTCAGGAATCCAGGTACAGCTGAGTTGGGTCTTCTATGACCAGGTTTCTCACAAGACTGCAGTCAGGTGTTGGCAGGTGCTTCAGTTATCTGAAGGCTCCAGGGGAGGTTGATCTATTTCCAAGCTCACTCATGTGATTGTTGGCAGGAATTGGTTTCTCCAGGGCTGTTGGATTGAGGAAGCCAGTTTCTTGCTGGTTGTTGGCCTGAAGCTGTCCTGTGATCCTTGGTACATGGACCTCTCTATAGGGCAACTTACAACATGGCAGTTGGCTTCATCAGAGTGAACAAGTGAGAGAGCAAGAGAGAGGAGAGTGCCTGCAAGATGAAGCCACAGTCTTTTATAATTTATCTTGGAAGTCATACCCCATCACTTCTGCTGTATTTTATTTGTTAGAAGTGAGTCAGTGGTCCAAACCACATTTAATGGAAGGGACTTTCATAAGAGCACAAATACCAGGAAATAGAGAATATGAGAAGCCATTTTAGAAACTGTCTATCACTTGACCTAGGACTAGTCACCAGTTTATCTTGACTTTTTTACATTTCTTTTCATATTGAGTTAATTTGGTATCAAAAGGCATAGCTATTTTGGCCAATACAGCAGCAATACTTTGCCATTATGCTGCACACTAAGTTATGCTTTGTCTTTGGGGCACCTGGGTGGCTCGGTCAGTTAAGAGTGTGACTCTCAGGCCATGATCTCAGGTGTGAGATCGAGCCCTGTGATGCGCTCCATGCTTAGTGCGGAGTCTGCTTGGGATTCTCTCTCTCCCTCTGCCCCTCCCCCTGCTCTCTCTCTCTCTCAATAAATAAATAAGTAAGCAAATAAATAAATAAATAAAATCTTATTTATTTGAGAGAGAGAGAGGGCCCAAGCAGAGGAGAGGGACAGAGGGAGAGGGAAAAGCAGACTCCCCGATGAGTAGTGAGCCTGACTTGAGACTCGATCCCAGGACCCTGAGATCATGACCCAAGCAGAAGACAGACAATTAACTGACTGAGCCACCCTGGTGCCCCAATAAATAAAATCTTTTAAAAAAAAGTTGTTTTGTCTTTTTGCTTACATCTCATTTGAGACTGAATAATCAATGTTAGCTGCTGTAATATACAATTCAAACATTTTAGTGACCTAACAAAAATATGCATTTTTGATAGGCATCAGACTTGCTCTGCTACATGGCTTTCTTTAAATGGTGACATAGGGATTTAGACTCCTTTCATCACGTGGCCCTGCCATTTCAAAATGTATTTCTTCTAACTCTAAAAATGTGGGAGATTTTAAGGATCAGGTCTGTAAGTGACGAACGTGCTCTCTTGCACACGTTGCAGTGCGCAGAATTAGTGACATGGCCCAATTTAACTGCTAGGGAAGATGGGCAACATAGTCTTCTATGTTTGCCCAGGAAGAAAAGGGCAAAAGAAAATGGGTCAGTGAGCACTTAGTTTCACCACACATCGTATTTAAATATGCTGCTTGCGTTAAAAAATAAATATATATGTATGTACGCACACACACACAGTGCTTAGATCTATACCATTAAAAAAAGTCCTCAACTCTATTTATTTCATTATTTTAAAAGATTTTATTTATTTATTTGACAGAGAGAGAGACAGCGAGAGAGGGAACACAAGCAGGGGGAGTGGGAGAGGGAGAAGCAGACACTCCACTGAGCAGGGAGCCCGATGCGGGGCTCGATCCCAGGACCCTGGGATCATGACCTGAGCCGAAGGCAGACGCTTAACCAACTGAGCCACCCAGGCGCCCCTGTGTATTTCATTTTTTATTGAAAAGATGGCATGCATAAAGAACACACCTCATATAATATAATTTATCGTTAATTAAAAGTGAGCAATAAACAACGGTATGGCCACTGTGCAAATCAAGAACGAGAACGTGGCTAGCACTCCAGAAACCCCCTGAGTACCATATCATTGACAGCCCCTCACAATCATGAATTTTCTGCTAATTGCTTTCCCTTGACTTATTCTCCTCTACCAACTCCCTGTTGTCTTCCCTTCTTGACTAGGGTTTGGAAATTGCTGTCTCCATATCCCCAGCTCCCATTCTGCCTCAACCCCTTATCCCCTATCTCCAGTGAAAGTGCTCTTTATGCCACTAAGGTCACCAATGACTGCCTAGTAATATTTAATAAATACCTCTTAGACCTTATCTTGCTGGACTTGTGGAATTTGACAATGGTGGTGACTTTCTCAAGACCTTTGACTGTTAGGATGCTCTCTTCTGGTTTATCTTTCATTCTTCTGGCTGATTTTTCTATCTTCTTGTAGGTTTATCTTCCTCTGTCCACCCGAAATGTTGGTGTTTCTCATGATTCTGTCACTTCCTAACAGTCTCACCCACTTTTAATGTTTAACTCCTACCCACAAACTATGACTGTTAAGTTGATATCTTTAGCTGCATGTGAGCTCCAGACCCATATGTTTGTCTTCATTTAGGCATTTCCATTTGGGTAATCCATATGCATCTCTACCTTAACAATTCCTAAGCTGTTTAATTCTGCTTAGGCAGCAGCAATGATAATAAAAACAGGTAGGATTTACTGAGTTCTTTCTAGGTGCCAGGTTCTGCTTTAAGTGCTTTACATGTATTAACTCATTTTAATTCTCATTTTAACAACTAATACCATAAGGGAATTACAATGACCACTATATAGATGAAGAAACGGAGGCACAGGAGTGTTAAACAGCTTGCCTGAGGTCAGGAAGAAACGTGAAGCAAAGCTCTGATCCAGATCTTGGCAGTCTAGCCTCAAGCCAGTTTTCTAACCCCTGAGCTAGAGTTGCCTTTCAAGTCAAGTTGTATCTAAGACTCTTGACCATGAATTCAACACAGTTTTGGTAATATTTGGCTTATTGAGTCAGGGATGATGATAGTTTGGATTTATAGGAGACCTTTTTAATTCTCCAGAAATCTGAAGACATCTACTAACAGTATGGTAGCTAAACAGTATCCAGGGATGGCTGACCCCACTGCACAGAGTCAGCACAGAATAACCCTAACCTCTCTACTAATGATCAAACTGAGTCTACTTTCCTATACTTAATTATATAGGATGAGTAGTGGGAGAAACTATGTCCATGCCTGGAGAGATGAGTGAACCATTCCTAAGAATAACAGGCTTAAAAAGGGAAATTAAAAAAAAGTATATCAAGCTTAATGGAGTACAAATGTAACATACACATTTTATAAATACTGATAGACCCTTCATTTTTGTTAGTGAGCTCGTTTTTAAGAACAATATGATAGAAAAAAAAACCCAATATGATGGAAGAATGACAACTTTTCATTGGCTCAGCCATGCAAATTAGTATTATTTTATAGCTTCAAAGACTAAAATTATGAAATGTTTGAAGGAAATCTAGAGGCAACCAAGTAACCAAGTAACTCTTCCATGAAGAGATGAGTCAGTGATGCGTGCTATGGGAAATGGCAATACCTGGACACTTTCAGATCTTTAGAGCTGTGTTCAAATTACGTGATACTGTTGTTTCTTTCTCTGTGGAATGTTCCTTCAGGGGAGAGGGGGCCACAGCCTTGGAATGTGTTTGGACTCTGAAAATTGTTGCCTCATTGACCCTTCACAGGAAATGAATGGTCTGTATTAATTATGTTTCTTTGCTCAACAGATCAGTGCTATGGCACTTAATCCCACTGACAGCTCATTCATCAAAATTCTCAGAATTCACTTCAATAATTCACATGTTCTCCAAAGTCAGTCTCTTACTTTCTCTTATTGCTCAGATGATGCTGGGACAAAAATCCATCTGACTCAGCAGGTAGACATGGCTGCGCAGGTTGCCTCTGGAATGGCTTATCTGGAGTCCCAGAACTACATTCATAGAGATCTGGCTGCCAGAAATGTCCTGGTTGGTGAACATAATATCTACAAAGTTGCAGATTTTGGACTTGCAAGAGTTTTTCAGGTGAATTTTGTTTTGTTTTAACTAGGTTTTGTCACAGGTCAAAAGTCTAACATACCAGCAGACTAACAGATTTACTGTTGTTCTTCAAAATAATGTTTCTCCAAGTTCTGTGGTCTGTAGAACACTTCGGTAGCCCAAGGCCTTACTGATAAACTACCTCCTGTTTCTACTTCTTCACCAAGGAGAAAGAAACAGAGAAAATCATGCCTAACCAGTTGGGAAAGTATGTGATTAAGTTTGTGGTTGGATTAATGATCTGCTTTTCAGTACAGTAGCCTCTGTTGGTTTGCCTCAATTTTCCTTACAAAAAGCAGCACATTTTGTATAGTTACCCCATCCACCTTTGCTCACTTTCTGCCAGATTAATATTCACGCTGCCAGAACTCTTCAGCAATCACTGACTTTTTTTTTTTAAAGATTTTATTTATTTATTTGAGAGAGAGAATGAGATGGAGAGAGAGAGCATGAGAAGGGGGAGGGGTCCGAGGGAGAAGCAGACTCACTGCCGAGCAGGGAGCCCGATGCGGGACTCGATCCCGGGACTCCAGGATCATGACCTGAGCCGAAGGCAGTCACTTAACCAACTGAGCCACCCAGGCGCCCAGCAATCACTGACTTTTTAATTCCTGCCCCTCTCCCCATGTCATGACATCAGGCCAAAAGACACTGACATTAGTGACATACTATTAGGTGTTCTTCTCTGAACTTAATTTTTAATTTCTACATTGTGCCCTACAAATATGGGTGTGGAACATGAAACACAACATATAAGTGATTCTCTTTTGATCTTCATGAATTCATTATCTTTTTTAAATAAGTTAATTAGAACCTCAGTGACTTGATATATTAATTTAAATCATTTGGAACCTACTTTTCAGTATCAGAAAGTGGCAACATGGTAATTATTAAAGTCAGTGGCTCTCCAATACCAACAGTAAGTCTGGAAACAGACAGACTTTGCTTTCATTTTTTTTTTTTTTTTAATTTGCTGAAGACCATCACACGTGAGTTCTCCCATATGCAGTAGAGTGCTCCTGTCAGTGCTCTTTTTAGCACATAGTAGGCTCTTAAGTAATATTTTATTAACAACTTCTCATAGATTTCTCAGTCTTATAAGCCAGATTTGGAATTTGTTACTATAATTATCAATTGAACTAAGCTCATTTTGAACCTTTTCCCTCTAAATTTTAATGTGAAACAGGTTACAGATGAACGAGGGTAGCAAAAAAATATATATATATCACTTGAACTTGGCTTGATTCCTTAATGCATTAACAGGTAGATAATGAAGACATCTGTAAATCCAAACATGACATAAAGCTGCCAGTGAAGTGGACTGCGCCCGAAGCCATTTGTGCTAATAAATTCAGCATTAAGTCCGATGTGTGGTCATTTGGAATCCTTCTTTATGAAATCATTACTTATGGCAAAATGCCTTATAGTGGTGAGTAATTAATTCTGAAGTGGGCCTTTCTGCTGCAGATCACTTACTTAGGTGTGACTTTAACTGCTTTGCCCAGACTTAGAGGGCAGAGTTATGGGGCTGACCATACCATGTGCCTGTGGGAGCATAATAGATAAAATTTGATGATGATGATTTGCATTAATGAGGTAGTTTATTGCCTCTTTCTCCTTTGCTCTTGAATTGCAGTCTTATGGACATTACTTGCTGCAAGATGTAGTTTAATCTCTGCAACCTGGGAAGGGGATGGTAGACCTCATAGCTCCACCAAGGAAATCAGTTTGCTTTGTAATCTTGAATATAATTATGAATTTAAGACCCTGAACTTTAACTTGTTTTTTGTTGGTTACTTTCTATGTTATTTAGGCATGACAGGTGCTCAGGTAATCCAGATGTTGGGTCAAAACTATAGACTCCCTCAACCACCTAACTGTCCACCACAGTTCTACAACATCATGTGGGAGTGTTGGAACGCAGAGCCTAAGGAACGGCCAACATTTGAGAAACTGCATTGGAAACTTGAAGACTATTTTGAAACAGACTTTTCATTTTCAGATACAAATAACTTCGTAAGATGAACACTGAAGAAGAACATTAAATAATCAAGTAACAAAGGAGTTCAATAATCAGTCCAGAAATACAACCTTATTAGTCAACTGCCAGAAGAGCTTACCTTGACATATTCAAGTGATAGGGTCAACTTACCCATGTATTATGAAGAAGATTATAGGTGCATTATATGTGACTGGGCAACACTGCACGACAGTCTAAGATGATATTTTATCACTGCCTGGCAAAAATCAAACACATAAACACAGTTATTTTTCTTTTTAAAAAATACTTAAACATTTCTGTTTATTGTTTGAAATACCGATCAAGAGGATCAACAGATGATAGTCAATTTTTACTCAGTGACTGTTGTAGCATTTTCCTGTTTACTGATTAAAGTGGTTATTCATTATTCCTCGAATTGCTGAATCCCATCAGGCTGTTATTATGAAGGAATCTGATTGCTTTGCTGCACAGCAGGACCTGTGCTTTGAGATTTTTTTTTCTCTTTTAAAATATCCTGTAACTACAATGATGGTAAAGCCATGTGAAATGACTTGATTGTACTTGGAGTAATTGCACATATTTTTTCCTATGCATAAAAAAATGAAGCAGCTGTTGAAAAAAGAATTAAAATTTCTCTCATTTTGTAGAAGGAAATGATGGGATTTTTCTGTACCTCAGTATGTGTCATCTGAGAATCATCTACATTAGTTTTAATCTCCTCATGTTAAGAATTAGATTGCAAAGCAGATGAGTTATTATCTATGGAAGTATGTGAGAAACATCTAGTAGCCTGCAAAATCTGAGAAATAAGTATAAAATAGTTTAGGAACAGGAGAGGAGAGCAGTAGGATTGCTATGGCTTAGATTTCTGAATAATTTTTTAAAAGATGGACCTTTGGCATATAGGCCAGAGTTTTAAATTGATTACAGTAAAGGTCAAGCTCAGTTTTAGATCTAGAGGCTAGGAATAATGTCTGACCTTGGTTATGAAGCTGTATTTTCTGTCTGGTAGGACAAGAGGGTTTTTATTCATCTTAAATGTGCATTAACCTTTGTAAGAATGTTACTGTCTTCTTAAGCAACGGGTGGATCAAATTTTGTGCCCCATTAGATGATTAGGGAGAGTTCTCAAAGGTAGTTTCAGAATCAAGTATATATTGAAAGATCTCTGCTGTAAAGCAATATGAATGAAACAAGCCACGAAAAGACGGAAGATTTTGAGTATATTCTCTCATCTTTAAAGGAGAAGAACATATCTAAACAGTTACAGAAACCCGAATTCAAAGTGGATGAAATATTAAGAAGTAAATGTGTGAGCTCTGCCTGGAAGGCTAGAGGCAGGGAGGGCTTCAGGTACCATATCATTAGCACTTCAGTGATAGTGACGGGGACCCACGTTCCTTTCAGCTATCTTCTCTGTCACCAGCATTGTCCTCATTCTCAAAGTCACAGATGGCTCAGTAGCAGCTGGGGCTCCCTTTTCTTTTCTCCTCATCTAGTAGCAGAAAATGGGAAAACCCTCTCTCTGCATTTTCAGCTTGCATAAGAAGCATTCTTTTTGGGGGTGCCTGGGTAGTGCAGTCGGTTAAGCCTCCGACTCTTGGTTTCAGCTCAGGTCGTGATCTCAGGGTTGTGAGATTGAGCCCTGTGTCGGGCTCCGTGCTCAGCAGGGAGTCGGCTTAAGACTCTCTCTCCCTCTCCGTCTGGTCTTCTCCCCCTACTCTCTCTGTCTCTCTCTCTCAAATAAATCTTTAAAGAAAATCATTCTTTTTTCTCGTTAGGCAAATTGGGTCATATGCTGATGAATAATAGACTTAATGTAAATGTTATGTGCTGATTGGCTTAGAATAAGTTCTGCCACTGAAACTGGAAATGTGGCCATTTTTCCTGGAGACAAGTTGGGAGGTTGGCTTATCAGAATAAAATTAGATGCTGGATAGGTATCCATTAAGGAGAAAATCCCAGTTGTAGGTAGGTGTGTGTACGTACATTCAGACTTCTCTGAAACTGAAATGGGTCATGTGGAGCTATTGATAATAGAGCCCCTTGGCTTTTTTTTTTATAAACAGGAAAGATGTATAAGATAAGGTCAACACTAATTGTTTAAGTCAGCTGACTATGTAGAGGACAACTTCATTTGTTTAAAGTCAGAGTCTAATTGTGAAAATTCAACTGCTATATAATCTTTTTTGTAGCAGCTAATAATAATAACTTTCTTAGTAAGATCTGATTTTGAAATGTATAGAGAAGGTTATCCTTTCTTGTTTTAATAACACCTGAAACCGGTTTAACTTACTACATTTGATTCTTGGAGACGTTTATGTTCAAGGTTCTGTCAAAGCAATCTATTGTTCTTGTTTTTGCCTGATGGATCATAGAGAAAAATAATGGATTCAGTTATGAGAAGCAGTAATAGATTTTTTTTAAGCTGACATAAATTTCTTTCCCTGTATAGAATAAAAGGATCGGGAAAAGATAAGTTGAATTTTCCTACAATGAGCCAGCTCTTGTTAAATTTACCTCCCATAAATTGTAGCAAAGCTCTTTCTATGTAATGTTTTATTTATGTAATTCGGTTATTTGGAGGTGGTGGTGAAGGATGTGAGTACATCATTTCATGTGGTATTTCAAATCTCTTTTGACAAAAACCTAAGAATTTTTGCAATAGGAAAAATTCAAAATTCCATTAAGCCTCTTTTAAGAAGGTTAGGAAGAAAATAGGTTTACATTACCTAAGGTCGAAAGAGGCACAGAGTGTGTGCCTAAGAGCTGTGGAACCTGAATATTGTATCATGGAAAACAAAGTAAAATCGAAGTGACCAGCAGTCTGCAAACTGGGCCGTGGTGGGTGGGAGGGTGTCTCAAAGGACACCAAAGAATGGGCGTGGGGAAGTATCAGGCTGAGCACATTCACATCCACTCACAACACATGTCTGCATAGTGACTACGTGGATCAACTGAACCATAGGGGCCAAAACTCTTTCGATTCTCTGATGGCCCAAGAGGAACCATTGCCCTTGGAAGGATGCCATAGTGTCACCCAGCTGGAGCTTCCTTGAGGAAGCAGTGCCCAGCTGGTGATCCATGGCTTTGCCAAGCACATGCCCTATCTGCAATAAGGTTTTTCATAGTCTAGTTGAGCATATGGTTTCTGGACCAAAATGCCTGTCTGAGAGTGTGTCCATGGTGATTTTTAAGGACTCTGCAACGATACATTATGTGAACTAGAATGGTGATAATACGGGTACTTATTCGCCTTGTGTTATTGTGTTCTCCCATTGAAAACACCTAGTCTCAAAAAAAAAAAAAAATAGTAAATGAGGTTCGAATACCTGGGGATTGGAATTGCCTGTGGGCTCATCTGGAAATGTTCAATTCTCTGGTATTTCCTTAGCATTGTTATGGAGACATTTTGGTCTATAGTCTCCAACATGATCCAAAAATTTAACGTTGTAGCATTAAAAAAAAAGAAAAAAGGCCGGGTAGTTTGGTGGAGAGACAATACTTATAAATCTTTTAAATTCATGGCTCCAGTAATATTTTAATTTTCATAATGTCATCTTTTTACTGCCTACACTACACCATTAAACTCCTTCAGATTTTTCCTTTTTTTATATGAAGGAAATGATGGTAAATCTCTTAAATTATTTATTACATTTAGACATAAACTGGAGAATAAAAATAGCATGCAAACCCTGAATTTCAGAGCCTGTTAAAAGTTTAGCTTCGATTTGCACTCGGCTGGCACTATCTACATAGGGGTTATAAGATTCAGTTATAAGGAAAGAAACACCCAATTATTTCCATTTACTCTTCTTGCCTGAGTAGTTTATCCATTAGTCATGTGAAGTAACAGGCTTCAATGTAACATCTTTTTCACCCTCATGGAATATAATCAGCTCTTCCAGAAAAGGGTAACAAATCTCAAACCTGCGTTAAGTATCTAGTTATGTATATTTCTGTGCAGGGGATTCAAGTCATAGAACATAATAACCCTGAAATCATATGTTAGGGGAAGATGGCTAAAGGCAACTAAAATTGCTTGTTTTGGAAGAAGCTAAACATCGTCTTGTAATAATTCTCTGGGATTTTAGAATAGAGGTTTGATTGTACTATATGTGAAAGGTAAGATTGCTTGATATCAACCAAGTTGCTTTAATGTTTATGGTCCACACAATTTCAGGGTAAAGGATATTAGAGCTTTTAATCATTTTTCAGAATCTGCATTTAATTATAGATTCAGAAAGTGGGAAACAAAGCCAATTAGCCAGATTCTATACTTTAAAGGTGCCACAATGAGATGTTTGTCTCTAAAAAATGAGTATTTCTATGTTATATGCTTTAATAATACTTACATTGTACAACCACATGCGAATGTATTTACACATGATTAGTATGTGTATCAAAAAGGATAAAAAAAAACACACTCCTTTCAGGGGTGCCTTGCTGGCTCAGTTAGAGCATGCGACTCTATTTCAAGGTCGTGAGCTCAAGCCCCACGTTGGGTGTGGAGCCTACTTAAAAAAGAGAAAAAGACTTCTTTTAATTGTACCATTTGTTACAGTGCTATTCCTTATCTTGGTTTAAATGCAACTAATATTTGAAAAATTTCTATTTCTGGGTACTTTAAAATACTAAGGTAAAGGCTTTTCTTGAAAATACATTTTACCCTAAGTGTTCTATCTTTAAGATGGATTTTTTTTCATTATGCCAGTTATATCAAAATGATTACTTTTAACTTGACTTTTAAAAGCTGACTTCACTGTTTCAGAGGTCAAGTTGGTAGTGGACCCATGACATAAATTTGATGTATTTTATAGTATTTAAAATGTTTCCTCAGTTGACTACATTAAAAAGGCTTACATTTGTGTGATGGGGAAAGTAAGTTGGTGAATCCAGGAAATTGACCTTGCTACATACTCACTGCAGGTCACCTGCTTCATGTCCCCTTTATCAGAGACCCAAGCTGATGGAGAGATCCCAGCTCTGACATTGTCAGTTGCTGGAGCAGTGGGAATGAGAGCCCTGATGGGTCTCATGTTGGCAACTGAATCCGTGGGCCCAGAAGACACATATGTTGCTTCTGCTCACAACTAACTCATTGACCGTAATCACATGCCTTCACCTAGACAGAAGGAGCACTGGATGTGTAATCCTACCATGTACCCAGAGGGAGGGCACCGGAAATACTCAGTGAACAGCACTAAACACTATCACACCACATTAGAACATCAAGTAAGTTTTACATGATGCTGAGTGTTGGAAGGCCACGTATACTTATTTACCCATCTTTTCCCCTTAATTATTTTATTCATTCATTAAACAAATGTAGATTGCTAACGAGTAGCAGACATTGGGCTACATAATTGAATAAAATTGTGAACAAGGGAGAAATGGACCCTGCTTTCTCTAAGGTTACAATCTATCCAGGGAGATGGATTGGCGTGTGTGACTCTCAGCTCACAAATCTATCTATGTGCACAATTTTACCTTCCCATTTTCTCCCTAAGAATGAACTTACTGTCTGTAAGCTACTATCCTGTGTCCGTTCTCTCCTTGCTTCTTAATAGAAGAAACTGTTTTCTTGGAGCCCAACTAAAAGATCAGATTTTCAGCCTTTTCTGTAGCTAGGGGTTACCAAGGAGATGTAAGAGAAAATTGCTCAGAGGGACTTCTAGGAAGACTTCATAAGAGGTGGACGGAGAACTGGAATGGGCTTTTTCTTGTCTTTTCCCCTTTTGTACTGTTTTAGGGCTAAAATTCAATACCATCTTAGATCATGAAGAAACCTTATAGATGGAAGTCACTTCTCAGTAGGGTCTGGGTTCTTGATAAGAGGGCAGCTGCCATACTTGCCATGGATGGCTGACCTCAGAAATTCTACTACAGGAGAGAGAGAGAGA